GGGGGGGGGGGGGGGGGGGGGTTGAATTGGAAGCAGCCGTACCAGAAGCGAAATATATTTACCAATGGATGCATTTTTTTTTTTTTTTTTTTACACCGGCTCTAGGTATTTTGAACATAGACAATAGGCCTTCTGACAGCCCTACACAATACCTGCCAGTTTTTAAAAACATCGTCATAGAGACAGTCCTACGCCATACCCGTGGCTCTTAACTGATTAATGTAATAGTTGCCTCCGGAAAAAAATCCCACTTTTTACCTGGGTTCAACCGATACGCCTGACGCTCGCTGCTCTACTGCCCCCTCCCCCCCTCCCAACTCAGTACTATTAATATAAAATATGTTTAGAGAAGCGGGAGGGTCGGTTGTGAGTAGGAAGCAGCCACACCAGATGAGAAATATATATATATAAGAGATAGGTTATAATGTATTTTTTATGTAATATAAACGAGTGGGGGCCATTGCTTTGCCTTTATATTCATTTGGGCATGCACACTAATGTAAATGGGATTTTTTCTTCACATGTTGCCCACCTTTATGGCTAGGGTATTGATTTCAATCATAAATCATTAAAAAAATTATTTTACAGGTACGTTAAATTTTATTTTTTTTATTTTTTATGTGATGAAATTAGATATTACCTGTGACGAAGATTGAAAAAAAAATAATCTCAGACAGCAGACAACAGAAAAGTTTTAGACGTAGATCTACTTAGTTATCTATTTAATTCCAATTCTAATGCCATTATGGTCAAAAGATGCAAACCTAAATTTACTCTATATTTAATATATATATATATAAAGATAATATTTTTCTAAAAGATAGCATAGGTCTATTGATTATAGCAGGTGTGCATGACGAAAACAGACGAATTCTGGAAGATCTTTAGTGGTCAGACGTGGGATGGAGCTGAAAACTCTTGTCCAGCTATGAGTATTAAACATTTCAAATTTAAATACTTTTCTTTAAAAAATCTTTGTATTATTTGTTGTTGTTTTTTTTCACCTCCTATATCGACTGTGGTGTTTCATCCAAGCCACAACTGAAAAAAGGGGGGGGGGGGTGAGGGGGGGGATTCATTCAGTGATTTCAGAGCCATATGAAATATGAGGTGCTGCTATGCGAATGGTGCAATAACACTCAAGTTAATAATTTGCATAGACTACGGAGGCTATCCACAACTGACGTCAGGCATCTAGGGGAACCTTGGAGTTGGAGTCACAGCTCTGCGATAAGGGTGTCCTCTTTTTTTGTGACAGATTTGTTTGGGGAAAAGGGTTTGGGGGGNGGGGAAAAGGGGTTGGGGGGGGGGGGCATTCGGGGAGAGGGGTTAAAAAAAAATTAAGCTAAAGAGTATGATATTATTAAGGAATTGCCTGTCACAGCATTGTGTTCATATTAAATTACATTGGGGGAAAAACATCTGAGCCAATTGATGTAGTAAATTTGTAAAATACATTTTTTTAAAATAATGTTTTATGAAATTCCTTTAACACACAAAAATAATTTTGATTTATATTTATTGTTTGCAAATAAACACAACACAAGATAACAACAATCACAGGCAGTCAACCATCAAGCAAGCAACGACCAAGTTTACACAATCATATTATTTATTTAACAAATACATGAAAATAGTTTTTTTTTAAATATACAGTTCAAAACACACATTGTATGACTGTATAATAACTATTTTATTGTATAATTATAATCTATGATTCATAAGATAAATCAACATTATGAGCTTGATGAATGAGTGTATAAAAATACGTGATTTTGTTAGTATAAGTTTAAGCCATACTTAAAACAAATAAACCATAACAAGAACACAAAAATAATATATATATAGATATATATAAATATAAATATATATATATATATATATATATATATATATATATATAATATATAAATATATCTCTTCTGTTGTATATTAATTTTTGTATTAATAAAAAAAAAACATATATAAAAAAAATAAAAAATAAAAAAAAAACAAAAATAATATATATATATATATATATAAATATAAATATATATATATATATATATATATATATATATATATAATAGATTAATATCCCTCTTCCGTTGAACATTAATTCTTGTATTAATCAAAAGCATGGAGTGGTAATGTAAATAATTCAAGTAAGATACATCTCTTGATGTATTATATATAAAATGTTTTTACAGCTCAACATTGATCAAGTAACACTCTGTTCTCGAGCAAACTTTCCACTGAAAAATAAAGTATTCCACTTTTTTTCGACGGCCTCCCTTTGGTCACGCGTAACAATAATAGTAACATTCAACATTCGCTTGTATGAGCAAGAGTTATCATCTTTCTTACTTTTCAACTCTACCCCCAGGTCCCTTAACAAACGCAGGTCCATTAACACCTCCATCTCCCCCATGGCCAGCATGCCCTGCATTGCCCCCATTAAACCCTGCCCCACCGGCGCCCCCAGTTCCTCCAACTCCCCCAGCACCCCCAGATCCATCATTTACCCCATTGCCTCCATTTGCCCCGTCACCAGCATTTCCTCCATCGCCCCCGTTACCACTTGACCCCCCAGCACCACCAACGCCCCCAGTGCCTCCGGATGCCCCGGCACCCCCAGATCCACCACTTGGACTCCCATGTCCACCGAAACCGGCCTGTCCCCCCGTACCCCCGTTTCCGCCGCCGGCCCCGGCTCCGCCTGCTCCACCAGCACCCCCAACACCGCCAGCGCCACCAGCACCTCCCTGTCCACCGTTTGTCCCAGGCCCCCCATTACCCCCAGGCCCACCTGGACCTCCAGGACCGCCTTTAACCCCGGCGCCTCCAGCGGCTCCAGTTCCACCAGCATGACCAGGTAACCCGGGTTGGCCGGGTGCACCGTCTTCCCCGGCAAGCCCGGGCGCCCCGGCAGCCGCGACGGCTTCAACTTGATAATCTGCACCGGGCGAGCCATTTTGCCCAGGTGTCCCGGGCGGTCCATTGCTTCCAGGACTCCCACCAACCCGTTGCAGTCCAGATCTCCCGCGTCCTCGAGCAGTCAAAGGCCCAGCAGGTGACCCGTAACTAAATGGATTCCCATGGCCCCCACGCCCTTCGGAGACATCTACTTCAAGTGCCTGAGCGTCAGCATCATATCCTGAAAGTTTAAATTTTAGAAGAAAAAAAAGTTTATCTCATGTTAAACTTGCCAGAAAAATAAACGACCACTTCAATGATTTAGCAGAAAACAGGAGTGAGAAATGAAATGGATGACACACAGTAGATTCGAGTTGCTGAAGTATAATAATTAAGCTACGCATTCACCAACTGATAAAATGACAATAAGCTAAGAGTTTTATAGGATCTGAGCTTAGATGCCACCCAGGAGAGTACAAAAAAATACCAGGCACCGGTGTAAGCACAACTTACAAGACATTTAGAATGCAGAATAATACTTTACAACTGAAAAGGTAGAAATCCAACTACGAAACTATCGATTTCAACAATGTCTCTGAGAATAGTCTTCATCGACTCCGACTGTCATTCGTTCCTTATTTTTAAGGAAGGGTTCACTATGATCCTGCTGATATTAGATCTAAACAATTTTTGGGTGAGCTTTATCCTCCGTTATTTTTTTTTTTTCTCAATTAATTTTTTTGAAAGCATTTTTTTGTATTGTTAAAATTAAATTTATTTCTCGGTGAATCTATTTAATCAGTGCTCCATGAGGAAGTATGAATGTCCACGTCACCTGATCAGGCTCTCGACTGTTGCGCTGTACTTTAGCGTAACTTATTTAGTAGGCCTACTTTCGTTTTAAGCACAAACATGAATTAAATTTCAAAGATAAATTGGTGCACTAATTGCTCTGAACTTTGACATTTCTATTTCCATAGCTTCATTTGGTTCCCCCACTCCATTTTCCCGAACCATTTTATGTGAATGTCAATATATATATCTATATATGTGTATATATAGAATAATATATCTGATGGCATCACCATATAATTTTCGTAAAACCTAAAGAACTGTTATAGTTTAAGATATTTTAAAATTGTAATATTGACCTTTGACTTTTATAAAGATTAGATGTGCGTGCTATGTAAACAATGCATGTGTTTGCCGTATAAACATTAATTGAAGTGCATGGTGCATACGATTTTAAAATTGAGATCGACTTACCCAGTTTCAGGCCACACAACAACAGCACACAAGCTGCAAGATTCAGTACATTAACCATCATGCCAGGAAAGACTACTTCTCTTTTTTTTTTTTTTTTTTTTGGTGGTTTTTTTTGCAATGTTGTAAATTCGTAGACTTTTTTTCCCTTTTAGTGGAACCAA